TCTGTCTCTGTCTTTCTTCTGCTGTCAGGTAACACTGAGCCTCAGCTTTAGTACATTTTATTTAAATGAAAAATTTAGACCAGTTACTACTGACCTGAATGTGGGCTGATTATTTAAAAGAAACAAGCCCAGCTGTGTTTATTTACACTTCAATGTTCAAAATAAATGACCAAGACTGCATTCCAATTTCTGATACCAATGATGAACAGGTTTTCTTTCAGAAAGCTAAGATGTAAAATAAAATTCAGCACACTATTTCTACAAGTTTCAATTAGGATTTGTATATTTAAGTTTGTATTAGGCCCAAATGCAGACAGCAGCTTAGAAGCCTTAGGATCATTTAATGATAAAAAGAGACCGGTCATGAGAAAACCAAGACAAGGAACCAGGCAGGATGCAGCAGAAGGCACCAGCAAAGAAAAATGAAAATCAATGAGCTGAAATACTCATTTCCTCACTGAGCACAATCAGTGAGGAAAGCTGAACAGCTCCTGCAAAGGGGAGCAGGAAAGGGGAAAGGCGATTAATGAACATGATGATGCACAGAGAGTTGAACTTAGAAACCAAGGACAAATTGCACAGTTTATCAGAAAGTTAAAAAGTTTTAAACCAACTTAAGAAAGTTCATAAATGGTATAATAATTGAGTCTTTTCCTTCCTTTGTGCTTATGGACAAATAAATTGGATGAAGTTGGCTGAATAAATTTTGCAAAATAACACATGCAAACACGACATTAATCACCAAAATGGAACCAGTTTCTAGTCTAAAAGCTTCTTCAATTAGTCAGGGAATTCATAGCAGTAATACAAACTGGCTAGTTCACATATTGATTAATAACTATTACTCAACTGTGATGGGATTGTGTCATTTTTAGGCACCTTTTCTTCTACCTTCCTTTTGATGACAAAAGCAGCCTGCAGAAATGTAGATGCCAGAGCAGTTAAATTTTAACAATAATAAATGACAATAATCTGCATAAAAGTAGCAAGAAGCATTTGACACATTTTCACACAGCACAATAGTGTAAATTGTAATTAAAACTGGCTCTAAAACAGAACCTTGAGGTACACTATTTTTTTTTACCTTAAAATATAACTATGAATCCCTTCAAAAGGAATTCATAGCGATTAGTGAGCCCCTGTGTGCTGTAGTGACAACGAAACAGGGAACTTGCTTAAGATATTTTGTAGTAAAATTTAAGAAATAGTTTGGGTAGATTTCTAAAAAATGTTTCATGTGAAAATATTGATGTCCAGGGATCATTGTGCCCAACATTGCTATAACTAGTTGTGGCATCCTTATTAGAGAAAATGCTGTTGTCACCATATAACATTATTTTTTTGTGACAGGACAATATTTTTCTGAATGCCTTGATAAGAATCACATGATCTAGCATATTAGAACTACAAACATAGTTTATTTTTAAAAAGAGTCACTGCTTCTTTATCTCAGCTTTATTCTGATGAAAATTAATAAAAGGCAATGGCAGCGCAGCACAAAGCAAGCATCTTTTAAAAAGTTTTACGTTTAAATATTTGATCATTATGTCAGATGTTTACATTGATCATAGAATTCAAATCTTCATAAAAAAAAGACAACAAAAATATGTTGTGATCCTAATAAACCTAGAACTGAACATGTTTCTCCATATTGATCAATCCATGTTCATTCAGCAAATTAATGCAGATTTGTTTTTTTTATTATTTGATTTAATTGAATACAGTTGATCTAAACTAAAAGTTGGCTAAATATTTCTAAAAGTTTAGATTTTTACTTGACAGCAGAATTTCTTTTCCTTTCCTTTGTGTTTGACATAAAATGGAAAATGTATCAGTTGTTCTGTGTTGCTCTTATTATTTCTGCCTCATGTCAGCATTTTTATATTCAAGCCAGAAACAAACACTTGACAGAGGAGACTGGTGCACTCTGAATGTAATCATTTGTTCCTTTATGTTGGAAAATACTCAATCAGGGAATTGTTTGTGGTCCACCTTTTCTGTCTCCATGTTTCTATGCTTTTGAGCTGCAAAAGAAAAACACAAACCAATTCACTGCTTTGAGGGGAAAAAAGTCATATAAAAGGCAGATTCCATGTTCAGTTGCTAAGCAACGTAGTTGTGGTAAAGCACTTGAATGCAGAGCATTTATTTTAATCAACTTCACTCATCAAAAGCATTAGCTCTGTGTGAAGAATCGGTGCTGTCTCTGGCTATTAACTGCTGTCATGGTGACGGATAAACACATCCTCTTTCATTTTTGCATATTAGGACATAATAAATAAAATCATCTGGTATTTAGCAGATTTTTAAAGCTAAGGAAATATAATCTCAGAAGAGCAATACAACATTGACATTAAATTCCATTCAAATTGCTACTAGGTTGTTGGAAAGGCTGCTAAGTTATAGGAGGAGATTTAAGCTTTAAGACAAATCTGGCATTAATATGAATGGTGATGTCTTTTGTGCTGCTTTGCAGACACACAGAGTTTTCATTTGAAATGGGAGACATTGCTGCAATCAAAAGCTGCCTCTTCAAGAAATAGCAGAGAAACAGTCTATATGCTTATGTGCAAATCTTACTACATTATTTTCTCATAAAAGTAGCTTTTCTGCATTTTTTTAAGTTTATGGAACATTTTGCAAAACATTATGTCTGTGATTATTCTGACTATGATTCTGATTACCCTATGATATTGAACCTGTAAAAATAGACTCTACCCCGTTATTCTTCCTGCTGGAGAAGTCAAGGCACTCACATAATTGAGCGTATTTTAAGTGGACTCAAAGCGGACGTTTGCCAGACACGTCTGTGCACAGGTCAATTTTTACGTCACAGTACGATGTTCACATTGAACTGTTTTGTATGCAATACCGAGCTCATAAGGTTTGAGAGTCGGCACAACCATTCAGAAGGACACTGCTCAACCAGACTGCCACTTTGTGCTGCTTTAGCAGGTGTGCGGTGGCTGCCCTGGAGAGGAAACATCAGACTAGGTGCCGAACTTGCTAGCATCCATTTGGATTGTGGAAAATTAAGGGATTTGTCTTGAGAAAGGACTATGAAATCTCAACAGTGGACAGTGTGTGTGGACTTCATGCGGCTCACAGAATACACACAGTATTCTGGGTGATGGTGGCAATGGCAGCAGGAGTTCACCCTGCAATTGGTGAATCGCTGGTTTGATTCCCGGTCCATCTGCCCTTGTTGTCTGTGTCTGTGACCCTTGTTGACGCTTCACCCGCAGTGCCTGCTGATGTTGGTCAGAGGGGTTGATGGCAGCTGTAGCTGCATTCCAGCAGTTTGTTGTCAACAGTGTGAATGAGCCCTTTGAGATTTCAATTGGAGCTAGAGGGCTTCATTAATAAATGGATTATTATTACTAGTATGCCCACGTATGCAGGATGCTTTTGGCCTTTTCAAACATAAACAGAAGATGAAGATGTGAAGGACCAGTTGAAAGGAGAGAACACATCATTGTTTCTGTCTCCAGATGCTGATGTTTTATTAGATGGCCGACTTTCTCTCCTCCTTTAGAAAATGCTATAATTTCTATTGTACACCAGTAGCTGGCCATAATATTATTAAGAATTATGTCAAAATTCCTTAAAAAGATAGGAAAACAGAAAGCATGGGTAAGGAAAGGCTAAATGCTAGAGCTTCTGTCAAAACAACTGTAGCTCATGTTCCTTTTGACAGTCAGTGACCTCTTCAGCTCGCTTTTAAGATTCATGGAAAACAGAATCTAGATGAAGTGACAGAGTGTAGAAACAGCTTCTCTGTAGTTGCTGTGGTTTCTATCACTGAAGTAATTGTATTCATGTGCACTTAGATGTCTTTATATAACAGAAATCGAGTTTTTAAACATCCCCACTTCAAAAAGCATTTTTAAAACTATAAAAAAAAAAATTCCATCAAAATTCCATTGTGCATCTGGACGAGTTGTGCAGCAGAAAATCAACATATGTTTGCATCAAAGCATGATATTGACGGCCTTATTTTTAACATCCTGCTTCTGAATTTTGACTTAATATCTGGTTAAATAAATGATCACTCTGCCTTATGTTTCTTGTTAATCTGAGGTCAAATTCAACTAATTAAAAAAAGAGAATATTTCATATTCTGATATAGAAAACACTGAAACTGAAAGAGGATGTGCTTTGATTTTGTCTTTGTTTCATCTTTGTTGTTTATCTCTGGTTAAAGTGAATCATTTTGCAAGACTTTTGTTCATAAATGTAAACATCAAAGCATCTGAGAGTTGCACACAGATTTGAGGTGGAGTTTGATGAACTCAATGGATTCATCACTCCCCCAATTATACTTTTGACTCGTATATACGACTCCAGCTAGTGGTAACTCAACAGTATGCAGTACATCCATACCTCATACTGAAAGTCTTCACATATTTATCATTGGAATTATTTATAAACTGGAGAAATGGGCAAAAAGAGAAAATACAATTGGATTTATTAACAGATTTGTTATTATGTTACAATAGATATTATTTTTGATATTTATGGACCCACCCAGCTGCAGTCCTAACTTGAATCTGATTTTTAAAAATCTACAGAGGAACTTTTGAATGATGGCACAGAAACCTTCCAGCCTCAAAAGCTTATCTTAAAATTTTTAAATATCAGTGGAAATATGCAAAAATAAAGTAAGCAATTACAAGAATTCAAAATTGATACTCCTTTTATACTCCTTTATCTTTTGATAAATGCCTTTTCTTTTCTGATAAGAAAAACCTGGTTACGTGATGATGCATTTAATCTACGTCTACCAGTTCTTTGAATAATTTTACACTTAATTATAATTGATATCCAGATTTGCTACTTAAAATCAGCTGTTCAAGGATTCTCTTTATCCAATCTGGCTGAGTTTGTTTGCTGAGAAGATGTGGAAACTTCTGTTATCTAATACATGTAATGTAATGCACATAATGAGGAGCCCACTGTGACATTAATATGCCCTTGAATATCCTGCTAAGATCATCCATATAGTGACAGATTTATATTATCTTTGTCTAACAGAAAGGCACCCTGAAGAAACACATCCACAAATTTAAACTGTTGTGATCTGCAGTTGGTGCTCTGGAACAAAACTCTTAATTAAGCATTGTTGTTCATATTATCATGTCATCAGTGCTAGTGCTGCTCTGTAGCTTTGATCATCTGCATGTGAAGAGGAACAACAGTCAGGTGTGTTTCATCCATGACTCACAGTTTGAATCACTAGTTCTGACCTCATGTAAGTTCTAAGTAAATCTTTGAATGTTTTTCCTCTTTTATTTACCAGGTAATGAATGAAGTTTGATGAAAGTTCACAGAAATCTGTTACAAATTCACTGATTGTTTTTCATCCCAGATTACTTCAGCATCTGAACATCACAGGCTGCTCTGTCTTTAACAATATAGTTTTCTTTCTGCTAAAGTGCTGGGTTTTTAACCAATACATGTAAAAAAACTGATAAATTAGTTTAGCATTTGATAAAGAAGTTCTGATGAAGCACACAACTGCTTATTGATGTTTAAAGATGAAGCCCAAAAGGCACCTGAAGTTACCAGCATTCATGCAAACACAGGTTGGATTAGGAGTATTTTAATCCCAGCAGTTATTTTCCTAATATCATTATAGTTTTGTTTCATCAGTCCAGGCTTCCTTGTAATCTTTTAAGATGGTGTTATCTGAAAAATTTCTGAAAGTAGTTGAACTTTTTTGCTTGTTTTCTTTTTCTCTGTCCAGTACATGACACTTCCAGTGTTTGTTTGTTGGTTTGTTTCTTAATTTACCCAATTCAGAGTCAGTAAGATATGAATTATTAAACTCAGTGAATAAATCTATGATGCATAAGGGACGTCTTGGAAAAGTATTTGTCTTTAGACATCCTTCTCGGACATAATTCGTTCCCCTTTCTGTAATTGTTTCAATAAACAATAGTTTGACAGAGGAAAAAATGATTTTAAATCCAGTAGTCATTCTGAGAGTGCTATTGGATGAAAAGCAGAAATAATCAGCTGATGGTGATTAGGTTATATATGTTAAAGGTTTGCCTTTCATATGCTGGAGATAAAGGTTTTTGACCTCCTAGTTTCTTCTTCTCTTTCTAATTTTTTCAGCACAAAATAGAGAAATTATTTGTTTGCAAACACAGCAGATGCATGCACAACCTGACTGCAGCAAGAGCAGGGCAGCCTTTAAAGGCTCACTAGTTGCCATAGTAACCAGCATTTATCTAGCTGTTTTAACATTAGCTAGCTGTTGTTGGCAGTTGTTTCTTATGTTATTCTACCAAACTGAAATGAATGAGATGCATCTTACTGAACCATAAGCACTAAATGCAGGTAAGTTGATAAATGATGAGAGAAAATGGATCAAACATGAACTATTACCTACTAGCAATATTAAGCAAATTTGTTCACGGTAAGATCATCAGCTCTCATTGAGATATGTCGATTCCCTCTAAATAAGACAAACATATACATGGTGAGCAATAAGGGCACCAGAATAGGGTTTAGCTAAAAATTACATTTTTATTTTATAAAAATGGAATTCATATTTAGCATGCAAAAGACAAATAAAATAATGTCTTCCTAATTTCGTCACAATTAGAGGGAAAATGTATCTGAATCCATCAAGGCAGGTGACCAACTCAGCCTTCAAAAGTTAAAAATGAGCTTAGCGTCACGTGCAAAGTGTTAACAGGTCACCATGCCAGGCACAAGGGCTGCACTGAAAATAGGAAAAATCTGAGGCAAAACCTGGATACCTATTGGACAAGACCACTTTAGGAGATTACAACTGACTGCATGAACAAAAACTATAAGGAAATTTTAAAATCTGTCAGTCTTTCTCAATGAAAAATGAATCTGGAGGGTCTAGATTACCACATTGTCAAACCATTTACAGTCTAGTGGCAGACATATATTTTTTCTGTACACATGAATGTTTGCTTTCAGAAACCAGGAAAATGTCAAAGCTTTTATCATAAACCTGATAAAAACATCACTTGGATGTGATGAGAGGAAGGTCTGGGCTGAAAACAGTGAACTTGTCCTTACATGCACCATTCATTAGACTCACGCAGCTGTACTGATGTTGCGTTCCTCAATATGGCAGTCCTCATTAACAACAAGTTCCCTTCTTATCCCTTATTGTTACTATCGTCCCCTGTAGAAACCCTGTTAACTTGGCAGTGTTAAAACTGAACGAGCAGGGCCTGTTGGACAAATTGAAAAACAGATGGTGGTATGACAAGGGAGAGTGCGGCATCGGGGGAGGGGACTCCAAGGTCAGATCACCGTAACCCTGACGGGTAACGACAGGCAATGGTACACCAGGGTAACCGGCAGAAAGGCACAGCTTCAGTAGCAAGCATGAAACCCTCTGGGAACAAATCAGACAAACATGAATTCTACTCTCATTCTCTGATTGTTGGGGTATTTTCATAACTATTTCAAAAGTCGGCAGTTAATGACCAAAATATTTCTGCTTCATATGTTGTTTTCTTCAGCTTAATAGATTTTTGTAGTCCACTATACACTGCCCGACTTTATGTGGCATACAATGATGCCTAGATGGAGCAGTGCTAGCCATATGTTTGTACATAATGCAGTTCCCACATGTGCAGCTGAGCTCAGGAATCGTATGTACAAACGCATGTGTAGATTATCTGTGTCATGCAAGAATATAATTGCAATTTTAGTACATCCTGCACTGAGTACAGTGAGATTTTCCTCAAGATTGTGGAAGCACTGGTCATTTATTTGTGACTCAGTGAATATTATGATTGTATTTTTTTCTGTTATTATGTTTTATCTTTTTATTATGGACCTTCTAATGTGTCTAGAATAAAGAGATGATGATGATGATGTTTTAAGGGTCATTTGAGGCCTAACCATTCATCCTTAAACACAAACTGCTTGGACCTCATTGACATGTACATCATCACATTCACAAAGTTTTTCCCTCAGTTTAGCCTTGGCTTTTCAGTAATATGTGCAGTTATCACTACAACCTAGTAGAGGGCTATGATGCTGTGTTTTGTACATTGATTTGAAGAGATAAAGAAGGAAAGAAAAATAGTGAATTATGGCATGAACATCTGTGCAGTTTTTTAGTTTCTGAGTGGTAAATAATCAAAATAGAGAAAACAGAATCTTCCAGTTATGTTTGGAAACAAGGACTGATAATGTGTAAAAGACGTGATGCATGCAGAAGTCCAAGGAGATACAAGGTTTACCTCACACAGGGAACCCAAATAAAGTTACCCCCACCTTCTTCAAATCTTCTTCAAACAACAGAATTGGTGTCAAATATTTGTGCTGATTTGTGCAGCAAAAATGTTTGTTTATGCCTCCTTAAAGATATGAATAAATGTTTTCCAGGGTCATAAAAAATGGTCAAACCAGACAGACCATGTTTACAAAATCAAGCAAATCTGGTGTCAATCAACTGTTCTAATATTTAGCTGAACAAACAAAATCCATCTTGTTTGATTTTATTAATGTGCCGGAAGAGCACAAACATAAATTTTGCTGCACCGACTCTGCACAGTTGATTGACATTTTCTGTCTGATTTTGTAAATGACTGGACTGGGTGTTTGACCTTTGATGACCTCTAAAGATGCTTAGTAACATCTTTAAAATGATAGCAGCACAAATGTTTGAAACCAATTTGTTTAATTGAAGAACTGAAGAAACCCCCCCAGGTCTATCAATGTTCTGTTAGATCCCATGATGGGTTTTCAGTTTGAAAACATCCAGCTAACCAAACATCTCACAGGAAATCCCAATTTGTTGTTATTTTAATTAACTGGAGAATTGTGTTGTTTCAATTTGAGTTTTTCAAAGTTCCTGCATGTTTCCCTGGAACAGAAGCTTCAATTAACTTTTTATAGAAGTTCAAACCATTAACTTAAAAGTATATTTCTGCATGAAGGCCAACTAACGAGTTGATCTGGCAAACTTATTGTTTTAAATACCCCTTTGATCAGCTTCTACCCAGCAATCCAAACAGCTTCACCTCCTGTAGTCTCTTTGGCTTCACCATGACAGAAAACAGTATTTACTGATTATATTCACTTTGCTCAGTAAAAGAAAGCGTCCCAGAGTGTTTTCAGCTGCTGTCGGTTACCCAAAGTGATATAGTAATACACATCTCGCAAGTAGGGAGTCAGGCCAAACTAAGCTAGATGGAGTATTAATTCATATCACTTTGATACAGTTTCCAATATTTTTTTGTGTTGTTTCTGTTTTCTGTTTGTTTTGTTTTTCTTTCTGTTGTTGAGCTGTTACTTGTAGTGTACAGCATGTACCATGTACAGCATCTGTACTGCTAATGGAGCTTTTTGCTAAAATCGTTCTACAACCAACACAGTTGAACAATAACATAACATAACATGGATGTGCATAATGTTATTTATGTTATTTCCAATCCCACCCACTCCCCTTCCCTTGATTCTCTGAAGAATCCCAGTAAACCTAGCAGTACTGAAGCTCAATGAACAAGCCGTCTTAGACAAGTTGAAAAACAAGTGGTGGTATGACAAGGGGGAATGTGGACACAAGGACTCCGGCAGAAAGGTCAGTTCTTGAGGTGACTTAGCCTGGTACCATGGTCATGCATTGGTTTGCCCCAACACCCTCCCCACTTTCTCCTGAACCCATTTCAAAATACCCCAGATCCACAGCAAGAACACTAAGGTAGTTTAATTCAGCTCTTCTTTTTTTTACTTTTAAAGATTGATTTTTTCCCTGTGGGATGACTAATATCTGTAGATTATTGTTAAAATGACAGGTGATTCCCATTTTACTACAACTTCCTTCTCATCCCAACTCCTACATTTTGCACATTTTAATTATTTATTTGAATCATTTTCCTGGGTAGCATGATTGTGCATTGTACAACTACAATAATCTATAAAGATAAAAACCAGATTTTACAGGTATTTGGTTCATTTAGCAGAAATCATTAATACATTTCTATAAATGCACCCACACCTTAGAAAAAGTGTCAATGCAGTTGTATGTTTTGGATTCATTCTATACAGAAATAAGAATGGTTCAAAGAAAAAACTAAAATTCCAAAAGGTATTATGATATATGATGTATGGATGACTTGGATGAGAAGATCAAAAGCTTAAATGTAGGAGTTGGGGTGTCTCTAATAGAATGGATTCACCTTTTAAACCTGGAAAGTGAAAAGAGAGAGAGAGATTTCAGCTAATCAGTACGGTGGCCCTGAGGTGCAAAACACTACAACATTAACGAAGCACAATTACAAATACAAAAACACTTTGTTAATGTTGTAGTGTTTTGCACCTCAGGGCCACCGTAAATCAGAGCTGTCATGTGTTTTCTTAAAATATTTGGAATATACTTTAAATTATAATAACAGAATAAAAGTTTGGAATTTTAGGGTCAAATATATATCTTATTGATCATTAAAGAGAAGGCAAGAAGCTGGTTAGCTTAGGTTAAAGAAATGAGGCAGCAGTTGACCTCCCATTCACCTAAAAAAAATAAGAATTCATTTTTAGGTCCCCCCACTATTGTTAGAACAATGGTTCAGTCCAAAGTGTAGGAGGATCAACCGACACAGGCTCCGTTAGAGTCGCAGAAGTGAAGAGCTAGCTGTTAGCTGTAGCTCTGCAGCACTAACAAAAAACCCTCCAGTAAGTAAAATACTTTAAGCTGAAGACATGTAACATGTTTTATTGACTTTCACTGCTCAATAGGAAGAAACACATTGACAATAAACAGTTCGTTATTTCATTAATTTGGCTGAATCCTGATAAACTGCCACCTTATGTCTTGGAAATCAAAACTAGCTAAACTGCTACATTGCTTTCATAGACTTAGCTCCTTTTTCTGTCGAAGGTAGACAATATTCCAATTATATTTAACTCTAACTCTTACTTTAATAAGAAGAGTTTGAAACTGGAGGGAGCGGCTGAGCGTTAGCATTAGCATTAGCCGACAGCTCAGTATGGGAACCAAGAGCAGAGGGGCGACTGCAGCTGGCAGTAAAAAAAATAAAGTATGCCTTTATTTCTTACCATCTTCAACGTAGAGCCTTTAAAACCACAAAATAAAATCTCAATATTTGTCTAGAAAACTCTGGTGCTGACCTTTGAGTTTAAGTTATGATACTTCCCAAATATTAAATTCCTACATATTTATGGGGTCTCAGCCATCCAGGACATGAAAAAAAAAAAAAGTTTAAAGCAACTTAAGTTATAATTTAAATAACACATGACTTGTATTGAGAACCACTACAATAAATCAATATTTATGAGGAATTTTATTAAGTGGAGTTACTTATTAAAACTTGTTTTTATTTAGAGCCTTAAGTTTTTGTAAAGGTGTAGCAGAGATTAGATCTGTGACTCTGAACCAAACTCATATCTAAGCAACATTTGAATCTTAGTTTGACTTCTATGGGTCTCAACAGGTTGTTTACTGAGAAAAACACATTTGTTATTCATTGCTACTTACTAGTCATTTTTAGTGGTGCAGCTTGAACACACACAAAAAATTAAACCACATTTTGCGTTACATTTTACTGTAACTTTGCCGACCCTCTCCCCCCTCAAAATTGCTCTTATTTCCTTGTTTATGGTCCCCCCCAATAATGAGATGAGATTTACACCCTTGTCTCCACATTAAAGGTTCTTCAGTAGAATCCTTTAAATTTGTAGTCAACTTTGCTGTTACAATTTGCACTAAAGAATCTCCAGCACTTTCAAGTCATTTCTCTGGCAGTATTTTGAAAACTCGATTGAACTTGAATTAATGGTGACAGAGTTACTAAAAGCACAGACACCATTTTGAATCACAAGAACCAAATTTAGTGGCACACTATGGGTCGCCAATGACAACATTCCCATTTTGCACCTTCATTAAACTGCTTTTTTCTTTATAAATATCCAAAACATTTAGACCAATTGACCATTGTTACATGTAAACTGATCTGAATTTTTTTAAACACATTTTGTCATTTTTAAAACCTTGATCCCATCAAAGACAGGTAGAAAAATGTGCTATTATTGCTCATTTGACATTAGTGCTAATTCAAATGAAGTGATAGAAAAAAGCCACAACATCTAGACTGGTCACAGACGGATAACCTGGCTTTTTGAGTTGCAACAATGCATGCAAACCGACAAATGAATAAAAAAAAAATGAAATATATTTTTGTTGTCCTGTCTACAAATACAGAAAAGTCTTATGTTTTTGATATACTTCTGCTAATCGAAGAAGGGAATTCTGAGGTTTTCAGGTTGTTTCTTGTCTGAATTTCATAACATTTTCCTTGTTCTTTGTATCAAGCTTTAAATTGAGCTAACCAGCTTACTGTCTACTCTACTGATATTAACAAGCACCAGAATGGCAAACTTCTTGTTTAACTATAGCAGATAGAGTTTAGGTTTACTGAATCCTTTTATTTATGGAATCAGAATTCATCACTGCTGCTGATTGTTCTGGAGAACAAAAGAGGGAAATAATTATAGACCAAATAATAATTATACAAATGAGGATTCTGATGACAGAAAGTTTGTTTTGTATGTTTGTAATGTCACATTTTTGCAAATTGATGAGAAAATCTGCCAAGATTAAACCTGTTTTGTCATCTTTTGTTCTATAGATAAGGTCTTTTCATGTCTCCAAATCAGATTTTCTCCACTCAGCTCTCTTTCTGTTCTTCAGAATATTCAGCGGTCAGCAAAGTTCAGTAGAAGCAGTTGTAGACACGAGGGCAAGATGCTCTGCAGAGAAATGTGGCTTTTTACATCATTTTTTTAACCCAAATCCTGCCTTTGTAGGCACATTTGAAGAATATTTTAAGCTTCTGCTGGTGGCAAAAAAAACTTTCTTGAGGATGTTGAAAATACTTTTTGTTTCTTGCTTTGGGCGATGTTTAGTCATTTAAGCTTTGACAAATAAAATCTGGCCTTGGAGGAAATTTTCAGATCAAAGCAAGATTTCTATTTTTACTCTTTCTGAATACATCGGATGTAAAAAGTCACAGTTTCCAATCTGAAAATGTTTTTTTTCCTATTTTCCTCACTGATGTCTCAGTTTATGGCTGCTCTCCAGTAGATATTAAATCCAATAACCACAGCTTTCCCTCTTCTCCTCTTCCTTCCCAGACACACTCCGTGATGTTTTTGTCTCCAATCTGTCATGAACCTCCTGTTTTGCTCTGAACTCTCTGAGTAACAGAGAGTGTGACTAACCTGGAGATGTTCATCAGTCTGTCGAGGAGACAGCTTACTGTCATACTAAAGCTGCAGCAACAAGACACTCGCTGCCATTTGGCTTCTGACAAGAAAAGTCACATGGAGGCAGTAAAAAATGTCCAAAACTTTATTTTTGTCTGGTAGAAATGTATCAATTCAGTTGAAGTCTATTTTTTATGTAACACCAGCATAGAACCAAGGTAATTTTATGGCACTTAAATTTAGAAAACAAGTTGAAATTATATCAAGAATTCTAGAGCATCGTCTATGATCACACTGTCACATGTTTTTAATTTTGGTTAGTTTTAAAGTTAGAAGTTCAACATTGCATAAACAAAAAAATCTTACCAAGTACTTATATTCTAGCATTTGGTGCAAATATCTTAGTACACTTGAAGTAAGATAAAAGTATCCTACAAGAAACTTTACAGCAAGATATCAGAGCTTGTTTTAAGTCAATTATTCCTTAATATTGATGAAAAGGTACTAATTCTGCTGGCAGATTTGGTCACTTATAATAAGACATTTTTCCCATGTTAGAATATAAGTGAAATAATCAATGGAACTCATACTTTTTCATCAATATTAAGAAATACTTAACCTTAAACAAGCTGATATGTCTTGCTGAAGTTCTTTGTCAGTTAATTTTGTCTTATTTCAAGTATACATTTGTACAATTAATTTAAAATGCTTCTGTCCCAAACCAGGCCTGAAGACACAAAGCTATTTTGTTAATGGCTAAAGACACAGGCTTTCTCCTCAGCTTTAAAGCCAGAGAAAAGGCCTGAATGTTACACACCGCAAGTCGACACAAAGTGTGAGTACACAAAGAGACACAGTAGTCCATCCTGTGTCCAGTTAGAATAACAACAAGACAACTTCTTTAATGAAATAGCACAAGTAGGTCCCAAAATGTTCTGACATTACACGGGCCTGTTACTCCTAAATACAATGTCTTGCAGGTGAATATAAATACAAATGATATGTTACCCTATTAAAAACAAATCCACTTGGGAAGACTCCATGGCCAAGTCATATCACATGCAGTGACCACAGTTAACTCACTTATCCTAGTTCAATCCTTCCATGTGCTTCATGTCTTTCCATTCTTCCTGTCCTACTTTTGAAAAATGCCACTAGTGCCACAAAATCCTTACAAACTAACAAAGAACAGCTCTGAATTGAAGGACAAAGGGAACTCCAACGTTTTCAGATTGTTCACATTGTAAAATAATCCTTTTCAAAATTTCTCACAAAATCCAAGACATTCCTGTGTGAATAAGCCCGTCTTCTTCAGCCTGGTATTAGTCGGACCTTAAGCTGTCTCTTCAGACTCCTCAGATGTTGACTGACTGCAGAACACATTCAGTGATGGGTTCACAACATTTTCTATGAATAAAAATGAGGAGTTTAGTTTTTTCGTCTATGTTATGAAAGGCTGCATGGTTGAGAGTCACTGAAACTGAGATGCATGAGATGAAAGTAATGACACAAAAATGAGACCTTGTGAAGAATATATGTTCTACTTTTTTTTACAGAATAAAGACTAACACAAATGTTTATTAATAAAATAGTAGGACTCATCCTCTGAGTCAATAAAATGTTTCAATTATTTTAGAGAATGTTTCTTTTGTTTTTGTTTTATTCTGTTAGATTTTTCTTCCTGCATGAGTTTGCATGCGACAAACAGAAGACGATGTATCATCAGAGGCGGTGATTAGAGGTAACTAAGAGCAAATCAACTCAAATCAAATCACACTAAATATGAGCTCACCAATAATTCATCAACAGAGATATTAGATATTTGGCTATTTTGAGTACAATTACAAGTGGTTCTTGTTAGATTCTCTTTTTGTGGTGACATTAAAATGCATATTTTTTAGGCACAATTCAAAGTAATAGGTCACTTTAAAACAGGAAACAGACTGAGGGAAGAACATACCAAATGAAGTTCTGAAACAAAATCAAAAATCCAGACCCAATATTCTTCTGTGATGAAATGCTCCGACATTGAAATTGATAGTTGGGCACTAAGAAGGATAAAGATTTTGTTGACAACCAGACCTGAGTTGGAAATAAAACTGTTTTCACTCACAAGCCACAAAAAGGAAGAAAAAAAACATCAGAGGAGATGTGTGGTGGTTTTAGAAGTGGACTTGTGGTCTTATCATATGTTGTTAGGGGAGATACACTCCTGATCAAAATCTCAGTCAAAAAAATTGCAAGAATTTGCATTTTGCACTATTGGATCTTAAGAAGGTTCTAAGTAGAGCTTCACAATGTTAAAAGAAGAAATCAGCATAAGAGACAAAAACTTTTGAGCGGGGAATTAATTGAAAACTGCATTTACACTCAAACATGATTTTTTCAGCTGATCAAAAGTTTAAGATCATAGCTCAAAAAACCCCTGAAAACCCCCCAAAACAGAAATCAAAGTGTCAAAAAAAAGGACTCAGTTATGAGTAGCTCCACCATTCTTGTTGATGACTTCAAACAATCGCTTAAGCATGCTTGATGCCAGTGTTTCCAGGAGGCTAGTGGGAACGTTGCTCCAAGTGTTGGACATAGCTTCACGAAGAGCATCCACTGTCTGGAACTGATGTCCATTTTTGTAAACTTCCCTGGCCATCCATCCCCAAATGTTCTCAATTGGGTTTAGATCTGGGGAACATGCAGGATGGTCCAAAAGAGTGATGTTATTTTCTTGGAAGAACTCCTTTTGTCAGGCGGGCATTGTGAACTGCAGCATTGTCCTGTTGAAAAACCAGACGAGGGCCCTCAGTCATGAGGGATGCCCGCTGCAACATCTCCACATAGCCAGCTGCTGTTTGACGCTCCTGCACAAACTGAAGCTCCATTGTTCCATTGAAGGAAAACGCACCCCAAATTATGATGGCGCCCCCACCACTGTGCCGTGTAGAAAACATCTCAGGTGGGATCTCCTTGTCATGCCAGTAACGTTGGAAGCCATCAGGACCATCAAGGTTAAATTTTTTCTCATCAGAGAAGACAACTTTCTTCCACCTTTCAATGTCCCATGTTTGGTGCACCCTTGCAAAGTCCAAACGGGCAATTTTGTGGCGTTGAAGAAGACGTGGCCTTTGAAGACGTTTTTTGTTTCTGAAGCCCTTCTCTCGCAGATGCCGTCTGATGGTTATTGGGCTGCAGTCAGCACCAGTAATGGCCTTAATTTGGGTAGAGGATCGTCCCGTGTCTTGACGGACAGCCAATCGGATCCTGCGGCTCAGAGCTGGTGAAATTTTTTTGGGTCTACCACTTGACTTTTTTGTTCCATAACCTTCAGGATCATTTAAAAAAATGCAAAATGACTGTCTTACAGCAGCCATGGCACGTTGTGAGAGGCCTTGCTTATGCAGCTCAACAATCCTACCACGTTCAAAGTCAGTGAGCTTTTTTGCTTTTGCCATCAGGAGGTCTTGACAGTGTAAAGACTTGACAGAAAATGACATGGAATCCAGA